AATGACGAAGGCCTTGGCATTCTGACCCCATCCAGCTTTGCTCTTCAGTATAAGTCAGTGCATGACAAAGCACTGGCCAACCTCGCAAAGAAAACATGTTGACCTCACAACCACCCTGACCAGTCACAAGCCGAATCCCACCCACTCTGGTCTACTTTAATCAGGCAGGGAAAGGTCAAGTCAAATAAACAAAATCCTTAATTATGAATTGCATCTTTTTATATAACTGAGGAACAATATATGAGTAAACAGTTTAAGTAAATATTCTAATAAGAGAACAGAAGATTCAGAAATCTGTGGTATGTTATGCATCACACCAGAACCTTTCAGTCATATTCAGGGTATAAAGTACAGGGTGATTTACCATTTTATGTTCATTGTGTTTGTATTATTAGGTTAAGTCTGTTTAATGTATTATGCAAACATTTGGATAAGGCACAGTGTATTCATTATAAATGATAAAGCTCCTATAGTTAAAGATGGATGACATGTAAAATATGAATTTATCAACCTTCATCTTTTAATCAGAAATCTAAATTAAATAACTTTAACGATACATAAACGTTTTGAGTGTATATTTGCATAATAATACTAAACCATAACTGCTAATCATATCTACACTACCGTTCAAAAGTTTGGGGTTATTAATATGTTAATGTTTCTGAAAGAAGCCTCTTACACTCACCAAGGCTGCATTTATTTGATAAAAAAATGCAGTAAAACCAGTAATATTGTGAAATATTACCATTTGAAAGAACTATTTTCTATTTTAATACATTTAGCATATTTATTGAGTAATTTATTCCTGTGATTGCAAAGCTATACTCCAGTCTTAAGCGTCACATGATCCTTCTGAAATCATTTTAATATGCTGATTGGTCCTCAAGAAGCATTTCTTATTAATATCAGTGTTAAAAAAGTTGTGCGGTTTTTGTAAAAACCATGATGCAGGATTCTTTGATGAATAGAAAGTTTAAAAATAATGTCACTTTTGATCAATTTAATGCATCCTTGTTGAATAAAAGCATTTTCTCATTAAAAAAAACGTACTGAACCTTAACTTTTGAATGCTACTGTAGATTTATTACACTACCATTGACTAACACTCTCTGTAAAAACAATCATGTCATGACATGTATGTTTTGACAACAAGGTGGAAAGAGCCACAGAGGATTTCCTCCTTGAACTAAGTGTTCCAAGCCAATAGAAAACAAACAGCTGTATGTCTCCATCAAGTGGACACATCTAGAATGAGGTGCTGTGTTTAGTGTCTGCAGTGTGCTGGAAAAGAGCCACAAAAAAAAGGCAATGGAAAATTTATCCCTTAGTTAATTTCCCTACAATTAATTTAAGGTGTCTGTCCCACACTATTGTCTATCTGAAGATCTGAGGTCATTGCTGCATCCAAGATATATTTATGTGTTTTGGTGTTTCACTTTGTAAAGCATGTAGATGGCCAGAGGACAGACACATAGGTAGAGAGGGGTTGGGCTGTTTTGTGAAATAAGAGTCACAGCTGCTCCTGTTACTCAGCATTAGTCAATCACACACACACACACACACAAACACGGATATGTAAATGCAAATATTGGCAAATTCACACCTGCAGACGTGGAAATGTGAACATAACATCCTTCTCTCACAGGATTTCTCAGCTTAACATTTAATTTAAAGCGCTTATTTGGTCCCACTTTTAGGTGCCCTTAACTACTTTGTACTTGCATTTAAATTAATAATTTGATACAATGCACTTATTGTGTACATATACATATTTTACATTGTACTTATATTTTAAAAATACCTGCATGTAATTACATCTGTAATTAATTTCTGTAATTACATAATATAATTGCCCTGTTGACCCATCCCTTACACCTTAACCCACCCTTAAACCTACCCATACCAACAAACCTGTCCCTAACCTTACCCGTATCCCACCTCAATAGCAGCAAATGTGTTTTGCAACACAATATGAACACAATAAGTACATTCATTGTACTTATTTTTTGATGTAAGTACATAGTAGTTAAGGCCACCTAATATAAAGTGGGAACGCTTATTTTTTGTGATTTCAAAATGTATCTTATACACATAAAATAAAACATGCACACTTGTACATCTTCTTTTACAAAGAAACAGACAGACCTGATTTACCATTTACATTTATTGATCTAGTTTTCATCTTTTGATACAGATGAAATAGATAGAAATAGAACCAGTACAATAACTCTTGTATATTAATATCCACTAAACTGATAAGTATTCTTGTTTCATGTTCAAGCCTATATCTTAATAAATAAGATATATTAGCATGATCAACTTAAGTAAACCATGATTATAAACTCAGACTACAGCAGTGGGCATACAGCATAGTTTCCAGTGCATTAAGACTATAATCAGTCTTCTCCCCTGAGAATTACAACTGTTCTAGACAAACTGTTCTAGAACTAGAATTTCTAATCAAGCTGTTTTAATCACAGTTTTTAAATATTCATATTTTGGTGTTTTCTCCAGAGCGAACATATTTGATACAGGTTTAGTCTCTTGTACATTTGTGACCCTGGAGCACAAAACCAGTCTTAAGTCGCTGGGGTATATTTGTAGCAATAGCCAAAAATACATTGTATGGGTCAAAATTATCGATTTTTCTTTTATGCCAAAAATCATTAGGATATTAAGTAAAGATCATGTTCCATGAAGATATTTTGTAAATTTCCTACCGTAAATATATCAAAACGTAATTTTTGATTAGTAATATGCATTGCTAAAAACTTCATTTGGATAACTTTAAAGGCGATTTTCTCAGTATTTTGATTTTTTTGCACCCTCAGATTCCAGATTTTCAAATAGTTGTATCTCGGACAAATATTGTCATATCCTAACAAATATACAACATACATCAATGGAAAGCTTATTTATTCAGCTTTCATATGATGTATAAATCTCAATTTCAAAAAATGTACCCTTATGACTGGTTTTGTGCTCCAGGGTCACATTTGATCTGTAGAGTGTAACTATATGTCTTATTACAGGTGTGGGGTGTTAGCATAAGGTGAGCAATATGACCGCACAAAGTTGTCAGACCTGCACAATGGCAAACAAAAGTCGCAAGCAGCCCAACAATGCTCTGTCAAATATGCTGAAACCTTCCGGTTCTAAAAAGTTGTCCAATTTTGTAGACAACCCAGCTCAATTTATTAAAGCAGGATAAAATGTACATTGGGTCCCCTGTCAAGCTCAGAAACATGTGCAAATAATAATTCTGTCTAGATTTTAATACTACGCTTGTGCAACACAGTGCAATGTAACAAATTCTCTATCTCATTATAGGATACAAACAGTATTAAGTATGAGGCTTTAAAAACTCAAGTTATTAATGAATAACGAATGAATCCCTGTGAATGATGAAATACATAAAAACTGAAAAAATGCTATAATATGTCCTCACACCTATTGCAACTATTCGGCCTGCCTGACTTTGAAATTGGAGGACAGAACAACAAAGACATAACATCTTTTTTGACAGCCACAACACCTGATTCATCAATGACCTCAATTTGCCATTCACAGCAACAGAAAGACATGTTCACAGAAATTCACAAATATTGTTAAACCACACCAAACTCTCAGACTAAATAACATGTATGTTTTGTCAACACGTTTTTTCACTAAAGCACATAACACACTCTCTTATAAGAGCACCATTTACTGAAAGTATCTGATTGGTTGAAAGAAAATTCAACTACCCAGCAGAAAGACCAGTGACAACTCATGGCTGTATACAGTACAATAAAGCTGAATACAGCCAACTAGTAGCACTTTCTAGACCGGCACCTGATCGAAGTTATTAATAACTATAATTTACCACAGACATTTTTGTGTAGCACATGACTACAGTTCTTCAAAACTGGCCTTTACAGTAAAAACAGTACTTGCTGATATGTTTTTCAACAATATGGCTTCGTTTTTCTCCTTTCAGTCTCACCACCAAGGCCTTCACCCAAACGTCAAGTCATAGAGAAGCGTTTGCAATCAATAGCAATGCATAGGTACAGTAGATTATGATATAGCATTTCAACTCAAATCTACGGTTACCACCTGTGCTGCCACACACCTTAATTAAGGTCTATAATTGAAAGTATTGATAGTACAGAGTGAAATGTAAGGTTCATAAAAACTGTGAAGGGTGTAGTTTAGCACTGCAGTGATGTATACTCCACCCCTCTCATTTCCCTTTGCTTCAAACACTTTGGCTGAAGCTATCTGTGTTTGTGTGCACTTCCTGTTTAAAGGGTTTGTTAAAAACAGGGAGGAAATGTGAGTGGGCGGATGAGAGAAAAAGCCAGACAGCGATAGATAGATAGACTGAGAAAGACAATTTCAAAGATGAAGAGTGTTACAATATAAGGTGTCCTAGTAAAAGCTCAATAATGCGTCATTTTAAACCCTTCTCGAGTGAAAATTATGAGAACTTTCTGGAACCAAAAAGTAAGTTCAACAATACAGCCGCTGGGGAGCAAATGTGGCAGAGTCAGCTTACTGATTGCAGAGCAGCAAGGACTTTGACCACCCGACAGCAAAAAGCAGCCTCCCTCCAAAGTCCTTACAATGAAACCTGCTAAAACATTCACAATTTTTGTCAAATAATGCCTACTGTGCACTTTTTTTTTCGGTGGCCATATCAAAAGGTACAGTTCACCCAAAAAATGAAAATTGTCCTCGTTTACTCACCCTCATTTCATTACAAAACTTTCTTTCTTCTGTGGAACGCAAAAAGCTTAAAAGATGATCTCGACTCGGAATATACCAGTAGTCATATGGATTCATTTCGTGTTACCTTTATGTCTTTATTAGAGCTTGAAAGTTTTGGGTCCCATTAAAAAAAAAAAAATTATCTTGTGCTTTGCAAAAGAAAGAAAGCCATATGAGTTTTTAGACAACATGAGGGTGAGTAAATAATCACAATTCCCATTTTTGGTTGACTGATCCCTTATAAAATGATTGAAATTACAGAGTTCATCATCATTGAAACATTGTTCAAAAATGAAAATCCAAAACAAGATCTTTAAACCTGACCAGCATACAGTGTCTCTCCTAATGTACCTTTAGCTTTTTTTGCTCTGGTGCGTAGATCTGATACGCCTGCCAACCAAAACCGGCTATAATGCATGCTATGCACCCCTGCAGGAGCAACATGACCCCATAGGTGGACCAGAGTGTTGGTCCAGGGAGCCTAGGTGGCATTGCAGGTGATAGTACCAAAGTTGGGTTGAGAAGCAGGGCCTGCATCTCTACTTTGATCATTTGCAGCTCATCCAGGATCGAAAGGAAGGTGCAGCAATGGAACCACTGATGGCTATGACCCCAGATATCAAAGTTCCCTGGAGAAAAACGTTCTGGGATCTTACTGATATTGAAGAGGGCAGATACCACCAGCCAAAAGCAATGGCGGTAGAAGAAGGCAGCCATGGTGGAGAACAGATGAGGGGAGGAGGATGACGGCGAGCTCACGGAGAGACGGTAGAAGACAGGAGTGGAGGAGACAAAAAACGGAAGGAGGAAGACAAGGGTGCGGACAGCATAGCGGTACCTCCGCCAGCACTGTCTGGTGTTACAGCAGGTGATGACGCATACGATAGCGACGAGACAGGAGGATGGGATGTAGAGGCTTTCAAAGAACAGCTGGAACTGAGTGGGAGAAGATGCAGAGGGCCAAGCCTCATCATTAGCGTTTAGGCTCTTCATTTGGGTAGAGTTCAGCCCCCCGAATCCAATCTCTGGTATTCCTGCTTGAGGATGGATGTAGTAGTAATATGCCAGTGAGGAACCCACTGTATACGCACTAATAGTCCCATAGTCCACAAAGAAACAGATTTCACGAATGATGAGTGACATGGAGTTGAGAAGATGAGCCAGGCTGCTGGCTAGCAGCAGGTACAACACCCCCAGGAAGTAGTTCCAGAAAGGGTAGAAAAAAGGATTGCTAGGTTCCGCCGCTCCTTCCCACGTGAAAACCTCAAGAAAGTGAAAGGCAAACACAAAAATGGGGAGGAAATGTGTCCAGAAGTTTCCGGTCTCATTGGTGGGACGAAAAGCAGAGACTAGGCACTGCCGTAGGCTGTAGTTGGGGAAACGATAACCAGACAGAATGAAGTTCTCAGTCACTCTCGGTGGAACGTCAGTGTGACGTAGTAATGGAAGTGACAACATGATTGGACCTACCAAAAGACGAATTCACTGATTAGCAATAAAATTATCTCCTGAGCTTAGAATCATTGTTGAATTAGATTTATTAAACTGATAACATACATAGCTAGCACTACCATGTTGAAGGTAGTCGTTAAATAACTAGTATTGCTTACAGAACGCTTGACTGTCAAACTGAATGACATAACTGAGGCAAAACTGTCATTTTAATAATCCTTTAGAAGCATTTATGTTGTTCATGTGCAGATTTCAGCTGGCAAAGGCAAATCTCATGGCTCAATACAAAACCCAACAGCATGTGCTGAAATGACTGTGGTTTTAGCAGAAATAAATAATCCTGCTGTTGCAAGTGCAACAGTCAATGGCTCCAGGGTCCCCTTTTTCCGTTAGCTCAAGTCTTTTCGTTTTAAAACTATGAACGATTAAAAAAAAACAATCGCCGAGGATGCTTCTCTACCACTGTTCAAGTCTTCCAAGTGAACGATCCGTTCGTGACCTTCACGTCACCTGAGGTCCACACGACTTCGGTCACACATCAAACAGTGAGCTTGTTTTTTCAGTGCGGAAGGTCTCGTTTGCTTCTCACTGCGGCTGCATCTCTCCTGCATTAAAGCTTTTGAAAGTAGGTCATGTGGGACACCGTCGGGCACCGGCCGGTCTCTGAAAACGAGCGTCACCCCTCAGTGTATTATTCATGCTCCGCCGTGCATAATTCATCGGCCAGATTATCGCGTGCTGTCTCATATGAAGATGCACTGCTGTAGATTAGTAGACCGCCGTTTCATGCAGTCTCACGGCGGTGTTTTACTTCAGAACGGGAACAGAGAACATTTCTCACGATTCAGCTGTCTGTGTGGCGGCTAATTCCTCTATTTTCGCCCATGTTAAATGCAGTTGTGCTGGTTTAAGCGTCTCTTCGCTCGACATTCGCATTGCGGTGCTCTGTGATCCGGCACGAGCTCTTTTCCAGGAAGGAGATGTTTCGTTTCTGCTCGACAGCACTTCTAAATAAACAGTCAACCGCCGTCTAGTCCCTTTATCATTAGATTGCCCTTGACTTCTTGCACAAATGCCGGCTGTGGGGTGTTGTAGGACTGTTGTAGGTCTGTCGCTCTCTTGTCTGGCCGTTACTTAATCAGGATAAAAGCGTCCGTGTTGCCAGCTCCGGCAAAGCAGCGCAGCACTCTTAACGTGATGTGTGTGTTTGTAGTCATACGAGCTGTTAGTCGTCAGCAGGCAGTGTCTCTCTTTATGTGTCTCTCTCACACCGACACTTATGTATGCTCTATCTTTCTCCCCCACGCGCTAGGCAAAACACTCGCCGAAGGCTACGGCATTTACAGACTAGCTTCTGACCTGAGTCATGACTGATTTCAATAGAATGTTGCAGGCCTTATTTTATTGCAAAGTTAATATACGTTACAGTATGTCAAATGACAGTTTTGTATTTTAGGTTAAGCATTTGTCTTTTAAACGTTTAAACTGCTGTTTTAAACAGCAACAAGCCACAGACAAAAGGTTATGTTAAACTACTTCATATTTTGTATATGATACATTGTAGCTGTAAATTGACATCTGCTGCTTTGTGTTTTAAAAGAGGCTCAGATCGCAAACGAAAACTTGTGCTTGTGCAGATTTTTGTTTACACATGTGCAACAATATCCGTTCTGTCACATGAGTAAAAAAAAAATCTAAAGATTTGTTACAGCGTAAAGGAAGCCTTATTTACACAATACAGTGCTAGCTGAAGTTTCTCGCTCTGCCTTATATATATATATACAGTGGTGTGAAAAAGTGTTTGCCCCCTTCCTGTTTTTTTAATTGTTTGCATATTTGTCACACTTAAAAGATTCAGATCATCAAACAAATTTTAATATTACACAAAGATAACCTGAGTAAAGGAAAGGATCTCGAGTAAGAATTCAAACACGTTTTGAGCTCTTTTTTTAGTTTACTAGCAATAAAACACAATTTGAATCACCCATACATACCCATTTATTATTTCTAGGCCGTCTGAATTCTTCATAATGACACCATAACATTTCATGAAACCACTCTGTCACAGCAAACAGCACAGACTGTTAACCTGTTAGCTTTTCTGTGAAATTATTCACAACTCGCGCCCATCTGAACTTCTGAGTCCTCCAGCATAAGCAGTCTATAGTGTCCCTCTGTAAGCATGCCAGGTGGCCCTATGATGGGCAGTGAGTTGTAAGAATAGTGCTATCATTAGAGAATACAGATTTTTTTACACGGGCCAGCTGGCAGAATGGACAGCACATGTCTGATTGTGCTGATTTTGGATTATTTCTAAAGCATGTTGTGATGGGACAGTATTGGTTATTTGTCAGTGGTCACTTACAGTATAATAATCATCCTTTCATATCAAAAACACCATGAATTTTAGAAAAGTAGCAGCAGCAGTCATATTTTAAGCCTTTCTCACACGCTTGGGCACCTATGAAGATCATATTTTATTAAGACATTTTAATAAAATATTTAACATGTTTTCCTGTCATTTTAATGTGAATAGGTCAGGGGGCTTTATACTCTCTGTGGGCATACTGTAGTTCTAAAGTTTTTAATACTGTGCTACATAGCATGCAGAATACTGCCAATTTAGGAGCAATATCATAAAAATTCCATTTATATTGATATGTTTATGTGTATGTATATATGCATGAGTGCACCCACATGTATATGTACTCATTAGGGGGTGGGCTTTGCTGTGTGGCAGCTGCTCGATGATTGACTGGTTGCTGTGTATTTGGTGACCACCTGCCTGAGGATTATCCAGGCAAGGCATCTGTGGGTATTAAAGTATACTAGTTTATAGATGAGATGAAAGATGAATTCAGTGCCTGTGGAGGTGAAATAGGAGTAGGTGCAGCAATGAAGATCAGATGTGTCGCCATAGCTATCAGATGAAAACCACAGACTTCACCCTTCAGCAGAGTACATGCTTCGCATACAATACAGAACAACCCAAAACTAAGATTAAATTTGAGGCCCCCAGCACTCTAATACTTCAAACAAGTTGAGACTGGTTCTCATCTGCAAGACTCAAGTTGTCAGGTATCTGAAGGCATGTTTTAGACACTAAACACCTGAGCATTTGAATATTACAGATTCATCCATTTGCTGTTATCTGTGGAAGTATGTAAAACATTCACAAATTAATGCTATAGTGATGATTTATACATTAAATCCTGTATCAGTGTCACTGATGACAGATAAATGACTTAACAGGAAGTGAATTGTTCCGTCAGATCTTGAGAGGACATTGCAAAGGGTTAATCTGCAAATAGGATAAGAGGAACTGTGGCAGTTCGCAGAATTACATAGCTCTTATGATAAACGCAAAGGCATTGTTAAATAAATACAGTGCTAAGACCTAAGATAACAAACAGATGGATGGTCGAATGCACATGAATTTCAGAAGAGGAAGAACAGATGTGTATTTGTGTCACCTGATGCCTTGAGGGCGCTGATCCACGTGACGTGCGAGGGCTCGTCGGTCTGAATCCTGCAGAGGTACATGACCACACACAGGTTTTGAATAGTCTTTACAACATGCTTTGTGAGTGATGCATTGTGGTTTTTCATCCCATTCAAAAAGATCATGACCCACAAACAAATAAGTTCTTTCTTTCTCAATTTGAAACTAGACAAAACATTAAAAGCTGCTGAACTGAAAACACACACTGGCATCCCACATCCGGACACATACTCACCAATCATCAGGGCTGGTTCTGGACCACGGTGTAAAAACAGGGCTCAAAAATAAGGTTTCTTTTTTTTTCCTGCTGGCACTATAGCTAAGATTTCCATTGGTCCTGCCAAAATGTTTCCTGGCCCAAATAGAATAAATATTTTTAGCTGAATTAATGTTAACCTGTTTTTAACCCAAAAAGTTATCATGTAATTCAGACAGTATTTACTATAATATACAGTGTGCCAAAATATGCATTTATAATTGTTATCTTATTCTAAACAATGCTTTTTCAAGACCATCACAAGTTATGCTTGCAGTTTTGACAAAATTATTTTAGTCAAGTAGTTACCAAAGAAAACTGAATATTTACGTTTGTAAGAAAAAAAACCACATAGCTAGATGATCATTGAACATAACATGTAACAAAACAGCACTGACCTTTCAGGACAAGTGTCAGTTCTGTCAACAAAAGTTCAAAGGTCACCTGAGGGACAATGATGGATATCTATTAGAAAGATAAACGTGTAAACAGGAACTTAAATTCTAAAGTCATCCTTTGTTTTAAAGGCCAGATAGCACAGTATACAAAGCAGGGAAATGAGGAAATGATTAAATGAGATGTCAAAGTGTATTGTAATCACCCGTTTTAACACATGCTGTTCCTGAGCTAAACACAGTTTCCATCCCATCACCCTTCAGGAGTCACCCAAATATAGACTATAGCTGGCAGCATGCAATAAGGAGCACTTGGCACTTACTATACCTCCTCACTGCTGTTATAAGTTCATTAAAGCATTCCCTCTACTACAGTTCAAGTGTTCATAATGTCCATGAATAGAACAACACAGACAGAGCACCAGGGAATAAATCTCCTCTGAATTTACACCCTACTTCAGCTTGAACCGTTCCTTCACTTCCTGTTTCCTGCGGACATCATGTCCATTTCGTTAGCACCCTGTGTACTTTCTCAAACCTCCCCTGGACACTTCACTTTCATGGTTTACATTTTGTGAAATAAATGCTGACCTCACTGTGTCCATTTTCACTGACCACCACAACATAAAATACAACAAAAAAGCAGAAAAAACAATGATGGTGAGAAGTGTGTGTGTGTGTGGCTAACGGCAACTACAATCAATACAAAGCTATTCTTAGTGACTAGTGAAATGTCTAGCTGACAATGTTGTCATCCTGCAGGCTATGATTAATGATTATCATTCAATCGATCTATGAACATGCTTTCCGCATGCCATCTCAGTCACTTTGTAAGTCAAAATTAGTAACACACAAGCAGTTCTGCAATTGTACATGACACAGCCTTTTCCACTACAATCAACAAGTAATTTACAGAGCAATCATGATAAAGCACTCAGCCTTTACAGAGCAAATAGTGCAAATGATATGTATTCATACATAAAAGCACTTTACTGCTCCCTGATGGCCATCATCCATCAGACAGAACATACAAATGCATTTACTGAAGACATCCACCATGTTTCTCACACACACACACACACACACGCACGCACGCACACACACTCATGTTTTTTATTTCTCTCATAGGACAATCCATTGACATTGACTGCCATTGATTTTTATACTAAGCTAATGATATTTTCTGTCATGTAAAAACCTATACCATCACACTTTTTTTTTTCTTCTCCATTTTCAGTTTTCAGGCTGTGGCTAGTCTCACAGTGTCTCCAAAAGAAAGAACAGAAAATGACCTGTAGCTCATTACCTCTCATGTTTAATTCACGACCCATTATGGGCTATTAAATATAATGGAATGGACTGTACAGTCCCCTGGCATTACTGTAAAGGTTAGTATATTGTTGTACAGTTTTTGGTTGTTGCTACATTGGTTGAAGGTCACTCTAGTGTTATATTTGGTTGAGTCTTATATTTAATTGCCTAAGGAGAACTGAAGCTGAGAACGTTGTGGCATGTGACAGTAAAACTAGAAGATTCAGCTAAAAAAACACACCATGTCAATGAATTTAATTCGGTATTTATGTGTGTCAGTGATTTTCAACCAGGG